GGGACTGGCCTACCCTGGGGCTTCAGAGATCGCTTCCGCAGGCAGGCCAGGACATACTTCTCCAGTTCTCTAAGTGTTGATGGCTTCAGAGTCTCAAAGTCGATCTCGATTTCGTCTGGGTTGGAGTTTCTCAGGGAGGGCTCCCTTGACTGTATTATGTGAACTATGCGTCCAAGCTTTTCCCCCGGAAGTTTGTTTATGTCCAGACTCAGCTGCCTTTTCTCATCATAGTTCATGGGCTTTGCGTTGTCTTCATCTTCAGACTTCAAAAGTGGCTTCTTCTTTTTGGGTTGACTGTAACAAAATTATGATTCGTTTCATCTTAATCAATCTAGGTAAGGAGATGGAACCCAGGGTTTCACATAGGCTAAAAACTGCAGTCTGTCACCAAGATACCCTTCTAGCAAACTCAATCCCCACCGAACACACTCACTTGCTCTTGGGCTTTTCCTTTTGTTTTGTTTGTTTAGGCTTTGTCTTTGGATTTTCATCTCTGTTATTAAGCTTTTTCCTTTTTGGTGCCCTTTTGTACTTTTCATTCTTTTTCTTTAGCTTACGTAATGGAACTTGGGACAGAACTTGTAGCTGCTGATGAACGGCATTAAGCTGGGAAAGGAAAAAACCAAAAGCCTTTAAGTATTCATGGATCTAAATCATTAAAGACACTGGAAAAACATGGTACTCTGAAGTCATACCCATTCCTTGTTAAATTCATTTCATGTTCTATTTCCGTCAGGATTGTGCTCCATTTTAGAAGTTCAGTGTTTTGAAGGGTGTAAACAAAACTTGAAACACTATCTCATGCTCAACCTAAAAATGTATTATCTAAAACTGATCTAGGAAGGTTGAAAACATAGCTCAATAACACAGCACTTGCCTAGCCTATGCAAGGTCCTTAATTTGAATCCAATATTTCAAGTAAATAAATAGCATGCTAATAAAATTAACACAGCCCAGGAACAGTTACATTTCTAGGTGTTAAGATTTCTTTCAAAAGATTTTTTTAATAGCCAGGCAATGGTGGTGCAAACCTTTGATCCCAGCACTCAGGTTTGATCTCTGTGAGTCTGAGGCCAGCCTGGTCTATAGAGTGAGTTCTAGGACAGGTTCCAAAGTTACACAGAGAAACCTGTTCCAAAAAACCAAAAAAGATTTTTTAAAAAAAAAATTGTATGTGTGTGTGAGAGAGAGTGAGAGAGAGAGAGAGAGAGAGAGAGAGAGAGAGAGAGAGAGACAGAGAGAGAGACAGAGAGACAGAGAAAGACAGACAGAGAGATAGAAACAGAGAGACAGAGAGAGAGGCATTGGATCCCTTGGAGCTGGAGTTACAGGTGGTTGTGCATAGCCTGACAGAGGTGCTAGGAACTGATCTCAGGTCCTCTGGAAGAACAGCCAGTGCTTATAAAAGCTGTGCCATCTCTCCAGGCACTGTCTTCAGGCATGGCCTCAGAAAAGTTAGTTTTATCACAGAAAGTAGCAAGTGATCTCATTTATAAAAGGTCCCACATTATACCATAAGACATTTCAGTAAGAATCAACCACTCAGACTAGGGGTGCAAACAACAGAATTGTAAAAAATTCCTAAGCATCAGGGTGCACACCAACAATTCCAGCACTTGAGGGGTAGAGGCAGAAGGATCAGAAGTTCATGACAAACCAGGGTACACAGACAGTTTCAAAGAGGAGGGAAGAAGTGGTGGTTCCAGAATTGGATACCATAGAGATGTGAGTCACAAACATTAAACATGCCAAAAAGTAGCTAAAGCTATAGACATTAAGTGATTGATTTCATCAGACTGGCCGCTCAGGGACCAACAACACTAGAGTCATGTTCGGCCACCTGCTCCTGAAGCTTGGCGAGATGCCGCACTCGTTCATCCTCAGAATCCTCAGACGAGCAGTCCTCCGAGGAGGCCTCGCTGCTGCTTTCTCTACTGAGGGCTTTTGCACTGTTGGTTGTAAGGTGATAGGCATGCATGCACTCAACAGGTTCGTCAGGAATCTTGGCAAAATGCATTTCAAAAACATCCTATAATGGAAAATTAGCCTGTTCACATTTTTTTTGGTTTATTTTGAGACAGAGTTTTACCATGTCCAGGCTAGCCTAGAATTCATTATGTAGTCCAGGCTAGCCTGGAACTCAAAATCCTCCTGCTCACCTCCATAGTGCTGGGATTGTGCCACCTGGTTTGGTTTTCTTCACTTCTGACTTAATGCAACAAGAATGCCTTAAAAGGACACACACTGACATATCTGGGGCAGGCTTCTTTAGGACACCAGAAGAAATGCAAGAGGATGCTTCTGTCTATCTGTTGTCTGTCTCAGTGAATTTTCTCCTCACTTCTCAGCAGTACCAACCTCTCCCATTACCTAGGGAACCTTTGTTCAAAGGCTGGGGAGTTAAAGTAAGCCATATCACATATATTCTACCTTTCAGTGAGTCAAGACTGGGACCTTTTCTAAAGCAGGACAGGTGCTCAATCGACCCCACAAGGAATGGACCGGGCTCTCTCACTAACGATTCATCAATTTCTTCTGCAAAGTAGGCAACTTCATTTAAAAATGTGCAGCTAAAAAGGTTATAGCTTAAAGGATAAATGTCCACAGTTTAATAAGTCGTTTGTAAATTGTTTGGTACTGTTTAAATGGAGGCGCCCTGTGCCTCTTGGGGAAGCACTCTCTGTGAGTAAGAAGACCCCCTTACCTGGAGCATTCGAGCCATTGACACGACTTCATGATCTGGAGGATTATATTTGTAGCAGTTCATAAACATTAATCTGACATCTGCGGCAAATTCATACGCATCCTTATATTCTTGGTTGTCCATTTTCCCCTAATTAAGGAAAAATTAGAAGGATTCACAAACAACTAAAGTCAATTCACATGAAACAATTTAGACATATAGGGAAGTGCAGAAAAATAACACAGAGAAAATACTTTCAACTTCCGGATAAGATGGTGTACTAGCAGTTTCCCTCTGTGACAGGAAAACAAAAAATTAGACTTTGTTCCAAGGAGAGGTAGAACTTTGGAAAAATCATAAACAAAATGATAGGGCAGCTGAGAACTATGGAGTTACAGATGGACAACACAGCAAAAAGAAGCCAAGGCTAATACAGGCCCAGCAATATGGTTCCCTGGTTAGGGAAGAGGAAGCAGAAGCTATAGCCAAAAGATAAGTCAGGTGACCCATTGAAAAGGATACTGGGTGGTTCTATCCACAGGACAAACCCACAGCTCTCATGAGCCTCAAATCCAGCTGTGGCCCTTATTGAGACAGTGAATGGCCTTTTATGCAGGAGGGGAAGCTGTGGAGAGAAGTCCCCTGACTCAGAGGGCTGTGGCCTAAGTCCTGTTAGAGTTTGAAGTCAGTCTGTCATAGCTCCACGGTGAGAGTCCATCTAGGAAGCAGTTATGGACAACAGGTGGGCAATATACTGACTAAGAGTACAAGTGACAGGAGACGACTTGGCAGTGAAGCATAGAGAGCATTAGCCCCAGCCTAGGTCCCTGGAGAAGACCTCCACAACTAAAGATAACTGTAGCTGATACCCTGAGACTGAAGTCAGTGGGGAGATCAGCTTGGGGAGTCACCTATCTGCCATGAGGTTCGTGTACCTGCTCCAAGAACTCTTGTTGGGAGCAATTTCCAGGGAATCCAGGAACCGGGAGCTCCTGTCTGCATTGAATAGCAGATGCTAACTGATTTGCTATTGAGTGACATGGCCTCAGTGGGAAATGTCTCCTAGTTTGCATCTCTATGGGCCTAAGCATCTGAATAGGCCTGCACCTGGGTGGAGGTTGAGGTGTGTAAGTAACAAGTGAGGACAGGGGTAGGGGCCAGTGAGGAGAGAGGAGAAGAGAAGCACAGGAGTGGTCTCCTCATGGCCATGGAAAGATGATTAAGAAACAGTTGAAAAGATGGTAAATAAAGAAAAGACTCTAGTTTTACACCATGGAACTGAGAGCTCTTTAAAGATGACAAGATGCCTATGTTTGATCTTTATCGCCACTGGGTTGCTAGGAGTTTCCAGGTCCACCCCCCACCACCACCCCCCACTCAGGCAGAACTTCATGGCTGTCGTGGCTTGGAGCTGAGACATGCCAGGTCACGACAAACTCTGCAGCTACAGTGGACAAATCTGGTGTCTGTAGCCACATCTCTCTAGCAAGTGACTAAGGCTTGTGGAGTTTGAAAACGAAGGCAGGCCTGCCTTTGCAGATCTCAGCACTGGTTGTTTTGCCTTCTCCCAGTGTTCTTGGAAGAAACTCTTGGGCCAGGAACTAGAGAGTTTCCAAACCAGTAGGAGAACCTGCCCAGTCCACAGACTAATTACAGTGTTCAGTTTGACAGCAGAGACCCCTGCTGAGACAAAGGCAGGAAGTTACTAAGGTGAGGGCAGCTATGATGGACATAACTTGAGTCCAGTGTAGAGTCCACAAAGTCAGCTGACCTGTCCCTGCATATTGTTAGCCATTTCCAATTCCCAACGGTCAGGAAAGAAGCCAACACTTTTGCTTTGCCTGGCCACCACCTTGGCACATGCGTGCTATGAATCACTCGTACTAGTCAGAGGACAACCCATGGGAGTCTCAGGAGTAAAGCTCAGGCTATCAGGCCTGATGGCCAGTTTACCTGCCAATCCATCCCTCTATTCCTGTGGTTTTTCTGACTTTTAAGAAAAGCTTTTGTTTTTAATTCATTTTCACATGGATTATCTAATTTTGTTACCTTTTTAAAAATTACTAGTCCTCTTTTTCCTTTTATGCTTCCAGTAGAACTGATCTTAACTGATTTATTTAAAAAAACCTTGATGTTATTTTTCTATTCCACTCATATTGTATAACTGCTATTTATTTTCTTGTTATTGAGTAATTTTTTTCATTTTTTATTTCCCCCCAATGTGTCCTTTCCTCCTTCAGCACATTCTTCTTCCTTTGTGTCTTATCCTTGCTTCTATTTCTCCTCTTTCTCCACCCCCTCCCATAGCCTCGTGCATTGGCTATTTTCACATTTAATTATTGTTTTTAATTTTAAGCATAATGTATATTAGCTTTGCCATTTTCTGTTTCCTGACTATTAATTAGTCAATTTTCACTGTACTTCTATATCATGTTTAAAAGTTGTTTTCCCCTTTCCTAGCAGTGTGGGGAATTGAGCCCTAAAGGGCCGTCTGTTCACTAAGAGAAAAAAAAAAAACAAATTAAACTCAGGATACCAAACAAACAGATGTACAAATCACAACATACAGAAATGCACAGCCTCACAAAACCAGTAGAAAGCAAGGTGGCGTCTCCAAAAAGAATGTCACTTTCCTCAGCTGCTGAACTCAAAGATACTGAAGGGAGTAGGACACTGTATGAAGATTTCAAAAGTTTACTAGTGAAAGTGTTCTGTGACCTTAAGGAAGACACAAAAACAGAGAAACAAAGGAAAGAAGAAACACTAAGAAGGGACGGATAACCCCAACATTTAAGATACAACAGACCTACAGCCAGCTTTATACTATGTAGGGAACAGATCAATTTCCAGTAAGATAAGGAAGAAAAAAAGGGAACCCACTCCTTCACTCCCATTCAATATAGTGCTTGAGTCTTAGCTAGTGCAGCGACTGAAGAAAATAAGACAGGTACAAGCAGGGAAGGAGGAGGAGAGTGTTCATGATCCTACGCTTAAAGGCCCCCAAGACGCTACCAGAAAACTTTCAGGCCTCATGGACACTGTAAGCAATGAAGTAGGATACAGCAGTGACACAGGAAACCAGCAGCTTTTCAGCACACCAATAATGAACTTACAGAGAAGGAAACTTCCTCCCTCCCTCCCTCCCTCCCTGCCCCCCCCCTGTGTGTGTGTGTGTGTGTGTGTGTGTGTGTGTGTGTGTGTGTGTGTGTGTGTGTGTGTGAGGGGCTCCCACTTCAAAATATAGCCATAAAAATCATTCTTTAAGAAAGTACTCTAACAGTTCAATAAAAGAGAAGCAAGAGTGGATGGTTTGTATTGTGTGGTGCCAGAAAGCTTTGTGAAGTGAAGGAAACTCTCAGCAGAGTGAAGAGATACCCCATTGAATGGAGGAAAACCTTGGCTGACCATACCCGAGACTGCTAGACAGAGGGTTAGTTCTAGAATCTATAGTCACCCCCACACACATATATGCACTCAAAACAAACCCGTCCCATCATTTAAAACAGACAGACCAGTGATTTAATGGACAGTTCTTCAAGGAAGAAAACCAAATGGCCAATAAATATCTGAAAATATGTTCAATGTCTTTATCCATCTGAGGAAGTAAAACTAAGACTACAAGGATTTTCTATATTATCGGTCAGACTGGCTATTATCCAGAAAACAAACAGCATATGCTGGGAAAGACACAGGAAAATAGCAACTCTTATACATTGCTGGTGAAAATGTAAAATGGTATAGGCTTTCTGGAAGTTAGTCTGGAGTGTCCTCAAAAACAAAACAAAACAAAAGAAAACGGAAAAAAAAGAACTGCCATTCATAGCCAGCATGTGAGTACAAAGGACTGTATCGGTATCCCAAAGACACTCGCACATTCATGATTATTGCTATTCTGGGAATGACAGACAAGCTGTGCAATCACCTGAGATGTTCATCTATAGATGATGGAGAAAATGTGGCACACACAAAACAAGATTGTATTCCTCTATAAAAAGGAATGAAATTTTAAGTTTAGGAGGAAAATGGACAGAAAAGGACTCAGAAAGACAATTATCATGTTTTCTCTCACATGAGGAATCCAGATTTAAATTTGTATTCATTTGTGTTAACATTTACAGTAAGAAAATAGAAAGGAACTAAAAAGAGGTTGGAGAAAGAGAAAGGCAACAATGTAATGTTTTGAAAGCAGCACAAGAGAGAAAGATGCTGTGTGACAGAGTTCAAGTGGGGGTTTTTTGTTTTTTGGTTTTTTTGTTTTTTGATTAGGGAAAGGGATCATAAAAGGGGGAAAGGGGAAGGGGAGAGTGTCCTCCAGGGACAAGAGTGGAGGGTGGAGGAGGAGGGGGGAGGAAGGGGGAAGGAGGATGGGAGGTGGGCAGGGCCTTTTAAAAGAGAACATAGTGAATGTGCACAGGTGGTGCTCTTAGTGGCTGCAGCTGAGGGTGTATCTTGTCAGAACCCAAACACTAAAAGGTAATGGAATATGCTACGTGAAAGGAAAGAGGGAATAAGGGGTGAGAAAACAGAAGTCACAGGGTTGTACAGAGGCAACAAATAAGAACAACATATGATGATGTGAATGTAAGAAAATGTCATCGCCAGCTTGGTGCACAAATGTGTAAACTCAGCTCTTGGGAGGTAGATCAGGAGGGTCAGTCAGTTCAAGGTCCTTCTCAGTTATACAGCAAGTTTGAGGTCAGCCTGGGTTATATGAAACCCTGTTTCAACAAACAAATGAACAAAAGAAGGAGTCACAGGAACTCCTTTCTTCATATGCTAACCAGAGAGCAAACAAAGTGGAGGGAGGCAGGGAGGGAGGACATTTACCTAAAAAAAAAAAACAAAAACAAAAACAAATATCAAACACGGTGCTATTTATCAAATTTTGCACTTGGAAAAGAAATCAATGAATGTTTACAAGAGAATGAAGAGGCATTCAAGGCAAAATGGATGGGAAAACAGTGTTTGCAGACGGTCCAGGCTGAGCAACTTTACAGGAAGAAAGCAATGCAAAGATGTAACAGACATGGGTTACAGGTTCAGGTAGCTGCATGAGAAAAGAGGGTGGGATGTAGAGTAGACATTATAGACAAAACAAAAAAACAAAAAAAAAACAAAAACAACAACAACAACAACAACAACAACAAAAACCTAGAAAGCAAAGCCATTGATCAAAATTTGTGCATTAATGGATAATTCACAGACCAATGAACAGGTGAATTACCCAAGGGTGGCCTTGAACTCACAGAGATCCATCTGCCTCTGTCTCCCAAGAGCTGGGATTAAAGGTGTGCATCACCACTGCCTGGCTTCTATGGCTAATTAATGTGTCTTTCTTTGCACTCTGATCTTCAGGCAAGCTTTATTTGTTAAATCATAAAATATCACAATATGTTGTGCATGTGTATGCCTGGTATCTAAGGAGGAAAGAAGAAGGCACAGGGTCTCCTGAACTGCAGTTAAAGATAGCTGTAGGCCACTACATTGTTGCTGGGAACTGAACCCAGGTCCTTTGCAGGAGCAGTAAGTGCCTTTAACCACTGAGCCATCTCTAAATCCCCAAGAATGTCATTTTCTACCAATCACATCAGTGACAATTGAGAATGATTTCAGAGATGAATTAAAGTTGACATTGTCCTGTTCTTGGAGCCCTCTAATAGCCTTCTAACCTGTGTGTACACAGCTCCTGAAGATGACTTATGTTTAATGGGTATTCTTCTGAGTCCCTACAGCAGCTTCCTTAAGACCCAGGTTTCCCTCACATCCTCCATACGTGTACATTCATACAGAGATACTGTTCTGAATTGTTTTCTTTACCTCCTGTCCTTTTTATAAGTTACTTTCTCCACTTGAAATACCTTGTAGCTACAAACTATTTATCTTCACAAGTGGCTATTTCAGCTGGTGCTCCTTTTTTGTTTCTTTGTTTTTTAAGACAGGGTTTCTCTGTGTAGCCCTGGATGTCTTGGAACTTGCTCTGTGGACCAGGCTGGCCTCAAACTCACTGAGATCCACCTGCCTCTGCCTCCTGAGTGCTGGGATTAAAAACATGTGCCATCACTGCCTGGCCAGACAGTAATTTTTAACCTTGGGTTTGAGTTTGCATATGTGAGAAAGTAAAAAAAAAGTGCTATTTTAATACACAACTGTTAAAAACTTATGGCATGAGTCCTCAGACTTAAAAAGGTTAATTTCTAGTACAAGATAGAAAAATCAGAAGCTGGCTAGAGAGAGGAAGACAAATTATGTACACAGGAATGACAAGTTGCTTCATAGCAGATAGATACTAGAATGTTCTCCAAGTGTTGAGAGAAAATGACTGTCATTCTGAATTCTATATTCAGTTAAAGAACCATTCATGATTCTTCTACATATAAACTGAATTTGCTATCTATAAATCTTTAAAGAATAGCTACTGAGTTTGAATGTCAACTAATAGAACAAATTCAGAGGGGGACAGCAGAATACAAGAAATGAGGGCAAACACAAAGTTTAGTAGCATGTTAACAAACTTTACTATATTGATAAAAATGATGGAACAAAACTGTGCTTTAGAAGAGAACCAGGGCTGAGAAGATGCTGTCAAGACTGAGGGCCCTAGTTCCATCTCCACTGGCCTGTCAAGTGGATGTGGTTACAGGAAAAATGAAAAGATGTATTTAAAACGTCCCAATGATCCACTTCAGGTGCTAGAATTCTGGTGATGTAATTTTCTTCACAATTTTCTGGACATTAGATTAGCTTTCTTTGCAATGATGAAACACTTTTATAATCAAGAAAAGAAAAGCAAGCTCTTCCCACTCAGGCAGTATGTTACCTTGATAGTGCCGAGGTCCATGGGGTTTTTGACAATGTCATAGTAGTTGTGGAGTCCCAAGGCATCAGCGTCCACAGGGTTATAGAAGGGCCATGCATAGGACAAATGTTTCTTCGCAAGCATTTCTTTAAGGATCTCACTGCAGTACTTTAATTGCTCAGTTACTTTGACTGTTTTTAAAACTCTGAGTTGCTGCTGAGAGTCTGGCAAAACATTCTTCAGTGAGTTTTCTTTTCCTGGCATAGTCACAGGCTTTGATTCTCTGAGTGCCGGAGGAGACTTGCTACTTGTTTTAACTATGGAAGTGGTAGGAGTTGTTGTGTCTGCTCTCCTCTTCACGCCCTTTGTGACCTGAAGAACAGTTCAACAAGAAGTGACCCTTAAGGAGGTGTCATCAATCCTCTATGAGAGGATTTTCACACACTACTGTCAGTCTATGCATTAAATATTAGTCAAGCTTAATTCCCCTTTTATAGACAAAACAAATAGCTCTGATGTTCCCTTCCCACATCCCAAAGAACAATCTTGCACAAATCTTAAAGACAGATGAAAGATGGACAATCAAAGGCATAGTTACAGCATTAATAATACAATTTTAAAGCACAAACTACACACACACACACACACACACACACACACACACACACACACTTGTGTCAGGTATGGTCGCATGGCACACAATGTTGGTAGACGAGGCATAAGAGTGAGGATTCCAACATAAAAAGGTCTACTAGTAGTGAGATCTTGTCTCAAAACAAAAAAACTATGTACAATTGTAATTGCTACATTAAAGAAAACAAAAAAGCACCAATGTAACCATGGATAACTTGTTTTTCTTGTTTTTGAGAGGGCTTTCTCTGTAGCCCAGTTTGTGATCTCTGCCTTAACCTTTTCGATGTTAGCACTAGAGGACCACACCACCAAACCTGGCTCAAGGCAAACAGCTTTTAATAGCAATATCATCAAGATACTAAAGTGGTTCAAATTCTACTTAAGAAATTTCTAAAATTTGGTTAATACTACTAGGTCTTTGTCCACGACATGCATATAGACAGGTACTCAGCACTCATATCAGGCTCAAAACAGCCTATAACTTCAGCTTCAGGGTTTTATGTCTCTGCTATCCTCCATACACATGTGATTTATATTCACACACACATATATATTTACACACACACACACACACACACACACACACACACACACACACACACAACTTACTTGGACCACAGTCTGTGAGTCAGAGGTGAGGGGAGCCTCCTGCACCATGTTTAAGGGAGAGAGGGCAATCTCAGGAAATCCGGAAGGAATCTCTTGCTGCTTAAATACATTTTCTGCCGCTTTGGAGGGGATTTGCTCCTTAGCAGAGGAAGCTGCTGTCTGTTGTTGAGTATCTAGTAGGTGTGAACCACAGTCAGACACCTGATAAGCACACAACACCATTTCCCACTTCCCACTCTACTCTAATTCAGTTGGCAAAGTGAGCCCAGCACACTATTGCTGATAATCTGTTCCTAATTGGTCCAAGATGCTGAAATTCTGAAATATCAAAGTCCTTAAAGCCGAACCCGCCCCCCCAAAAAACACCAAAATCTCTAAAATATAATTTTGAAAAGGTTAAATTGAAGCCAGGTGTGGTGACACACCCCTTTAATCTCAGCCCTGGGAAGACAGGACAGGCAGAGCTCTGTGAGTTTGAGGCCATCCTGGTCTACAGAACAAGTTCCAGGACAGCCAGGGCTACACAGAGAAACCCTGTCTCTAGAAACAAAAAAGAACTGGGTAAGGTATACAGCTCAATCAGTAAAATATTTTCAATTAGAGGGGAGAGAAACTGAGTCTTAAACCCATAGCATTTCATTCTTAGCTGTAGTCCTTTTGACAATCTGTGTCCTCTTATCCAGGACACAAGAGCCACCGAAAACAGCAATTAGATAAATATCATCATGTGACATGAAACATGACAGCCAGCTTTTTAATTAAGGTGGAGGAGACTGTTTAAATGCTGTTCCAAAAGAATTGGATATAAAAGGACTTCCACATGTCTATGTACTTTGAAGGAACTTGTTTTTATTTATGTTTGGTGTGCACACACACACCCACCCACACACTTGTGCATACACACTCTGTGAGAGTCAGTGCCAGCTGTGCACTCTGGTCTTACCTTTCTTTATTCTTTCCTTACCGCCCACAACTTGCTCTTCTTGCGGCATTTGAGATAATTTCTGCAGAAATAACTTCTCTAGAGCTTGAGCCATGAGAACTATGTCATCTCCAGGCTAGAAAACACGTTGAAGATACACTAAGATATACAGGGTAATTGCTGGCTGTGCCGTCTCTCTTTATAGAGCAGGCTACTGCACTCTCAGATAGGACTATCTCCTCTATTGAGAAAATAGTGAAGCAGAAAAGAGCTTAAATTCTAGCATGTCTTGCCTTGAAAAAAGATCGGAGTGATTTTTCTAGGTCTGAGGTGACTCAAGTGTAGCTGACTGGCTTTGAAATCTGCTCCCCCTGCCATGTTCCTCTAGCATTACCTCACTGCTTAGGAAAAACATCAACCACAAAGTAGGTTTAAAGAACAGCAGCCTGACAGATACCCTGGAAAAAATGACTCTACTTTGATGGGCTCAGTCCTCAGCACTACGGAGGATGTTATGTAGTTCGTTACTTAGGCAATGGGTAGGAAATTAAAGCAAGATTAAATTAAATGTGCCACCATTTTATCACTCATAACTAAAACACCAAGAGGACCTCAGAGGGTCAGACCATCAGGGCTACTTCTCTTTCTTCTCAAGATAGGGCTCACCCTGTACCCAAGCTGTCCTTAAACTCACAAAGTCTCCTGCCTCACTGGGTTATAGGTGAGTTACCAGTCTGATTTTGGTATTTTTTAAGCATAGGCCATTTCAGCTATTCAGGCAAAAATACAGTCAATAGGCTAAGAAAAATTAATCAAATAGACTGAAATATGAAATTTATGAAATCCATTGAGAAACAACTTACTTAAAATATGCAAATGCAAATTGGGGTCAGTGAGGGGGTTCAAATTTGGCAAAACACTTGTTGTACAAGCCTAATGACCCTAGTTCCACCCCATAGCCCATAGGAGGAGGAGAGAACCAACTCCTGAAAGCTGTTCTCTGGCTTCTACACAAGCTCACACACTAAACGGATAATAACAATTACAAAACAGCACACCTAGTAAAGACACATAAGTTAAACATGAGGGATGTGCCTATCTATAACCCTAGTGCTCTAGGGGCTGAGGCAGGAAGATCTGGAGGGCAACTTGCATTGCACATGGAAACCTTGTTTCAAACTGCCCCTCCTCTCCAAAACAACACATAAACTGTTCCTAATCAGGAACTGGAATTCTTGTATACATAACAGCAAAGAATAGGCAGTGTAATATAAGTTTACATACCTTGTTGTATAAATAACAGTTTGAAAACATTGTATTGAAGTCTTCTATGCATTCGGAAGCCTTCACATAATACTTATTTTCCAATCTCTTCTTAATTGTATTTAAATCCATTGGGGTTTTTATGATGGTGTAATAGTCCTACAGTTTTGAAGAAGTTATATTATGAGAATGAGGCTGGGGTTGTAGTTCAGTGGTAGAGAGCTCATATAACATCACAAGACACTGGGTTCCATCCTCAGCGCTACAATAAATAAATAATAATAATAATAACAATAATAAAAACAGAGAGTGGAGGTGTATCTCAGTGGCAGGCATTCCTGTTTAGTATGCTTGAGGCCTTGGGTTCAGTATGGTACAACCACACATAAATAACTATTGACTTAACAATTCATGAACTGTAAACCTATGACTAAGGAGTGCACATGGTTACCTTTTGTTAGAGGCTCAACCTGGAAGCCAGAGCCTTCACTAGTGACAACCGGAGACAGTTGTCATAGCGTCACTTTTCAGAGGAAAGAAAAGGCCACTGAAGGCTGACACAGGCCATGCTCATGAGGTGGCTCAGAGGGTAAACGTGCCTGCCACTAAGCTCAACCACCTGGCTTGGTCCCCCCAGGACCCACATGGTGGCATCTACTACAACTGACTCCCAAAAGTTGTCCTTGGTACATGCACATACTGACATTCAAGCAAATAATGGAAAAAATTAGGAGATTGGCAAAGGCAAGATTTAAAACGTTTAGTTTTGAAAAATGTAAAAAGAAGAGAAGAGAATTTGTGGAATCTGGCAGGCTCAGAGGAAAGTTCTGTTCCCTGACTCACCGACTACTCCCTAGATCGCTTTAGTACTACAAAAATGATTAAAAACTTCAAGTGAAACCTAAAGATGAATGTGACATGTGATACAAATAAGACTATTAAGTAGTGTGAGGAAAACCTTCTGGGAGGAGGTAAAGTGTCAATTACTCTTCATCAGAAAGCTGCCATGACATGCTATGGCAAGAAACATTACACTGTTATCAAGAACTGTTAAAATAAGAGTGCCAACACTCAGAATATTAACTTTGGGAGTTGGGAAGAACGCTTAGGACAGTCTTCAAGGGTGTTGAATAATCAAGTGTCTAGTTATGTATATTTTATAATATTAAAGATTAAGTTAAAACATTTTGTGTGTATGGGTGCTTTGCTTGTATGTCTATCTGTGGAGCAAATGTGTATCTGGTGCCTGTAGAGACCAGAAGAGGGCACTGGATCCCTGACATCCCCATTACATACCCATCAGTTCTCACTAGATCCCTGGAACTGGAGTTACAGACAGTGGATGCCTCAATGTGGGTGATGGGAATTGAATCTGGGTCCTCTGGAAGAGCAGTCATTGCTCTTAATGGCTGAGCTATCTCTTCAGCCTCAACTAATCTTATAGTTGTAGGATTTTTCTCTTTAAAATCAAAATACCCAGATAGACAAACAAAGAGGCTAACAGGTTATGGACCAGGAAGATGGTAAAAGTACTAGTTGTGCAAACCCTATGGTCTGAGCTTGATACCCTGGAACTACAAAAAAAGAAAAAAACAATCCAGCTGTGGTGGTGCACATCTGTAGTCACAGAACTCCTGTGGTGAGGTGGGAGGCAGAGGCAAAGCTATGCCAGTTAGCCTGGCATGCACAGTACAGCAGCAAAGAGTTGGACATTGTCCTCTGACCTGTGAGTGCCTACGCTTCAATACAGTTGTTAGAGTTTAAAATTGCTTCCTCTGAAGCTTACCTCTGAAGGGAGGTTATCATCCTGGACTTCCCAGTATTCTCTGAGAAGGACTTAGAATTCAAAGGGGGCTAGAATTTCCATCATAGAAAAATGTCGGAGTTGCTTCTAGGAGAGCGTCCTCTATGTTTCCTCCCTTTCCATCACTTCCCTTTATGAGACCCTGTGCAGTTAGGTGGGTGGGATGGGGGCTCTGACACCTGCAGGCACTGGAAGTGAATTTGGCTGCTGCATCTTGGTGATAGTTCTCTTATATTTTGGCCGGGCGTTGGTGGCGCACGCCTTTAATCCCAGCACTCATGAGGCAGAGGCAGGTGGATCTCTGTGAGTTTGAGACCAGCCTGGTCTACAAGAGTGAGCTCCAGGACAGCCTCCAAAGCCACAGAGAAACCCTGTCTCGAAAAACCAAAAAAACCAAAAAAACAAAACTGCATCTGAAAACCTTGTATCTTAATGCTGGTTTTGCTCTTTTCTGATCCACTTTGCTTCAGGACTCCTAGAAGGTTATCCTCCTGTTTAGATTCCCAACACCCTAGGCCTGGGCCAGTGAGATGGCTCAGCAGGCAAATTGCTAATCCTATGGGTCTGACATCCTGGGGTAGAAGGAGACAAATGAAACTCCCAAGTTGTCCTCCACATGTATCTTGAAACACACACACACACACACACACACACACACACACACACACACACACACACCACACAGAGGAATAAAAATTAACATGTCATAAAAATGCTTACAGGCAACTTTAGTTTCACAGCATCCACAGGCTGTTGGAAAGGCCATGAGAAACTATGCTTCCACAGAGCCTTCAGGACAACTTTCTGTAGGAACTGCAGCTGATTGGTCAGGCGCCCATTTTTCTTGGCATTTATGTACTCTGGTGGAGGTGGGTTAACAATTGCTGTCTGTCGACTTGGCAGAGACATTATCGACCACTTCAGATCCTGGGATTCTAATGTTGCCTATAAGTACGTGTCCTGAAAAATACAAAACCAAGTACTTTAAAAGCTGCTGTTTGTAAGAGCCCAGAGGGTTTATTCAAGAGAAAGAGTGGCTTTTGTTGTTTTGTTTTCTGGGTTTTGGAGTCAGGAGCCTGGAGCTTACTACATAGGACACCACCATGCCTGGCTTTGTGTTGCTGCTACTGCTATTGTTCTGGGACAGGGTCTCATGTCTTATTTTGTATGTAGTCCAGGATAGCCTCAGATAAGACTTTCCTGCTTAGCCTCCTGAGTGCTAGGATTGCAGGCACAACAATCACACACAGCTAAGATACTCTATTTCAAAACACATTTTAGTTGTTTAAATGTATGTTTACAAATATCCAGGCATGGTGGTGCATACCTTTAGTCGAAGCACTAAGGAAGAAGGCAGAAACAGGTGGATCTCATAAGCTCAAGACCAGCCTGGTCTATCTACAGAGTGAGTTCCAGGTTAACCAGGCTAGATAGTGAAATCCTGTCTCAAAAACAAAAACATCCTCTCCTCTAAAACCCCCCACCACATCTTAGGCCAGGAACAAAAGGAAAAATGACAAACTTTTAACAAATACTAACCTTTTTTATGCAAATAGTATACATTGTTTCATTATGTATGTTTTAGTCTTAGATGGTTTAAATTATTTCCACACTTCACAGAATTTCTTTCTGTTCTTCAAAAATACAAATTGAGGTCTTAGCAGGAAAAGTCTACAAATTCCTAATAAAAAGAAGCACCGGGAGTGTTAAAGGGACCATTGGGGTATAGATAATCCTGTAATTGTTCATTGAATTTGGGGGTAAAGGATTTTTTGGCTAATCCTCCCCCCAAATTTCTCACTAATTTAAACAAAGCCATTTATTTAAAATCCCAATTCATAAGTTGTGCTCTGGCCTTTGCATGCACACTCTAAATACACTCATGTGTACACACATGGTCTAAAAACAATGTTTTGTCCATCAAGATGGCTTAGCAGGTAAAGACTCTTGCTGGCAAGCTTGATGACATGAGTTTGATCCCTGAGTTCCACAATATGGGAGAGAACTGACTCTTGACATTTGTCCTCTGATCTCCACATATGATCCATGGCACAAGCACACACACATATGGAGACACAAAATAAAAACCCCAGTTCAGGGCCTGGGAGCATACCTCAGTGGCAATACATGGGCTTAGTTAGTGCAAGGCCCTGGTCCAATCCTCAACATGAACAGCAGTGAGAACTAAAATAAGTAAAGTGGAAAAAAATGCATTAGGGAGAGAAATAAATGCATAGTGTTGCAATGCAGGTCTTTGGTGCACACTATTCTAAGATGCCTGGACCAAATGCTAGGAATGTGCACAGTTCCTCATGCCAGTAAGCAAAAGGACAAGTAGCTAACTGTCCACTTTTAGACCTGTAAAAACTAAGCCAGAGCCACACGCATGAAATCAACCATGGTTTGCCACTGCTGCCTTATTTTACTTGTGGTAAAATCCATCTTAGCTATTTTAAATCCACAGTTCAATATTATTGCATATATTCAGGGTTTTCTGAAACCAGTCTACAATGTCTTCATATATCTTCATGTTTACAAAAATCAAATCCTATAGCCATCAAACAATTTTCACCCCCGATTCTTGTCTTCCCCCACCCTTGGCATCGACTACTCCTATTTCTGTCATTATTTTGGAAACAAGGTCTCTCTCTACACTTAGGAGAGCCTTGAACTGATTCTCCTGCCTTGGTTTCTTCAGTAGCTATGGTTACAGCCTGCAGCACCATACCCAATGCTCAATTGTTTCTACGACACAGCACTCTAGATATATGTGGAATCACACAGCATTCATCCTATGTTTTATAATATTGTGTGTGTTGTGTGTGTGTGTGTGTGTGTGTGTGTGTGTGTGTGTGTGTGTGTGTAGGCATCATTTCTCTTCTTCCACTGTGTGAGTCCCAGGGATCAAACTCAGGTCATCAGGCTTGGCAGCAAACACATTTACCTGTGGAGCCACTTTGTAGGCACATTATATATTTTACTTAGTTCAAAATCCTCAAGATTCATCCATGTTTACAGAATATGTAAGATTTTCTTTCCCCTATTCTCCTTTGAAACAGGGGCCTTGCCACTCCCTCAACTATGTTCACAGCGGCTATACATAATAGCCAGAACCTGAAAACAACCTAGATGCCTCTCAACTGAAGAATGGATAAAGAAAATGTGGTACATTTACACAATGGAGTACTAATCAGCTGTAAAAAAACAATGACCTCATAAAATTTGTAGACAAATGGATGGAACTAGGAAAAAAATCATTATGAGTGAGGTAACCCAGACCCAAAAAGACACAGTATCTACTCACTCTTAAGTGGATATCAGAAGTAAAGTATAGGATAACTAACTTACAATCCAAGTCCCAGAGAAGCATAACAAAGAGGGCCCAAAGAAGGATGCATGGATTTCTCTGGAAGGGGAGATCTGGGTAAATTGGGGGCAGGTGGTGAGGTTGTGGGTAGGGGAACTTAAGGGAGCAGACTAGGCCTGCTGGATGTGGGAGGTGAGTTGGGGGCAGAACTGATGGGGGGCATTTCAGGGTTAGGGAGAAACCTGGTGCCAGGGAACCCCCCCAGGAATTTACAACAATGATACCAGCTAAGACTCATAACACAAAATAGTGGAGAGGGTGTCTGAACTGGCCATCTATTGTAATCAGATTGGTGACTATCCTAATTGTCAAAGAGCCTTTATCCAGTAACTGATGGAAGCAGATGCAGAGATCCACAGCCAAGCACTAGGCAGAGCTCCCAGAGTCTTGTTGAAGAAAGGGAGTAGGGATTGTACTAGCCCTGGGAGGAGGCAGGGTGTCAAGGTCATGATGGGGGAACCCACAGAGACAGCTGACCTGAGCACACAGGAGCTCATGGACTCTAACAGTCAGGGAGCTTCCATGGGACCTAACACTCTGCATGCATGTGACAGTTGTGTAGCTTGGTCTCTTTGTAAGGCTCCTAGCAGGGAGATCAGGACCTCTTCCCATGCTGAATTACCTTGCCCAGCTTTGATGCCGCAGGGAGCTAGGTCCTGCCTCAACTTTGTGTGCCAGTGCTGTGTGCAAGCCCACGGGAGGCCTGCCCCTGTCTGACTGGAGAAGGAAGAGGAGTGGATGGGGAGGGAGGTGGATGGGCGGTGGGAGGACAGGACAGAATTGTGGTCAGCATGTAAAATAAATGAAAACAATATTTTAAAAAGAGAAATAGGGGTCCTGCTATGTAGCCAGGATTAGCCTTGAATTTGCAACTCTGCTGTTTCAGCTTCATCAGACTGGGATCATAGGTGTGCGCCAGCTTCCACACCTCCCAACACATCCTTTTTTGTAGTGCTGTAGTTTGAACTTAGGGCTGTGTTCATGCTACATAAGAATCCTACCACTGAGCTACATATGACCCCAGTCTCAGTTTCCTTTCTTTTAAAGCTTGCATTTTCATTTATTATTTATATGCAGATGTGTGTTTGAGTATGTAGCCATATGCACAGGTATCCTCAGAGGCCAGAAAAGGGCAGGAAGGCATTGGGTGATAAGCCATTTGACATGGATGCTTGGAATTTAACTCTGGAAGTGCAGCAAGAACCAAGAACTCTTTTTTGTGTAGCCCTGGCTGTCTTAGAACCCATTCTGTACACCAGGCTGGCCTTGAACTCAAGAGATCTGCCTGAGTGCTGGGATTACAAGTGTGTGCCCCACCCCCAGCTAGGAACTTCTACCCGCTAAGCCACCTTTCTAACCCTTCCTTTTAAAGCTGGGGACATCGCGGATCAGCTAGTGCATTTTGTTTACCCTCATCCACCAGCATCCAACAGGTCGCCCCACCTTTTGGAGACTGTACACAGTGCTCAATGAACACACTGATATTCAGTGTTGCTGTGGACACAGACATAAAATCCTTCAAGCCTGTGCTCATCCTCCTCTTCCTTTTTTAAAGAAATGTTGGTTGTATAACCAGAGTACAACAAAAGGACTGCTGGATCACATGGCAATTGTTTGTCTTTTCTTTCCTTCTAGAGTATGAGAATCAGTTTTAGTTTCTGAAGTTCCCCTCCGTTCCTGATGTTCAGCCAAGATGGATGACAACCACATTGAAATGAATTTGAAGTCATTATCAATCTTACAGCTCACTCCATCTCATAATTTACTTCTCTTGTATTATATGTAACACTTCAACCCTGCCATAGACACAGCATTATTTCCTATGTATTATACTTCATTGGCTTTTTTCCTCATTATGTTTATAAAGCTTATTCAGGTGTTGTTTGCTTATTTACATTGATGTACACTGATTTACTGTGGTAGAAATGTTCTTTTCTTTCCTTTTTAGTTTTCTAGAAGCAGGGTCTCACTGTGTAGACCAGACCATCCTCAAACTTGCAGGAAGCTTCCTGCCTCAGCATCCCAAGCATAGAAATTATAGCACGTTCCGTCACACCTACCTTGTTTTATTTGAAACTTTAGGGTTGTTTGGCACTGCTGTTAGATGTGAGGTGTGTGTGTGTGTGTGTGTGTGTGTGTGTGTGTGTGTGTGTGTGTGTGTGTTTGTGGTATCTGTGTGTGTATGTGTGTTTATGCCATGTATAAACCCAGAAGTGAAGTTACTGAATCATATGCAGCAATTCAACCTAAAAGATACCACCTGCTTTCCAAAAAGCACGCAAACCAACCTGAAGCGGCTTCACCTCTGTGTGGGCCTCTGGTCCTGCTACCACATTAGACATCAGTAGGTACACAGGAGGCTAACGTGTGATGCTCATTGCTATCTCTGATCAGTGATATGAAGCCCTTTTATGTTTCCTGGCCACATGTACATTGTGCATCAAGCACATCGGAAGCATTAACTATTTTTTCTTTACCAGGTGTCTTTAACCATCTTCATATATTTTGAGCACAAAACCTGTGTTATGTACTACAAATATCT